GGGCCCAACAGGGGGAGAATAAACCGAAATTTAGAGTTCTTCGCCCCAAGAAGTCCCCAGGACGGCGCCAGGACGGCCCAGAGCAGACTTCAAGGGCCGCCCGAGGCCCCAGATAAGTGCCTCGCGAAAATGTTTGATTTCCCAGATGTTCGTAAGGATTTTGGAGGTCCTCCAGTTTTCCAGTTTCCCGCACTCCTAGACGGCCTAAGAGACCTCCAACATTGCCTCAGGACGGGCCAAGACGCCCCCATGATGGCCCCGGGACGCCCTAACAGGGCTCAACGATTGCCCCGGGGGCACCTAAGGCGGCCCAAGAGGCACTAAAGACGGCCCCAAGACAAGCTCAGGAGGGGGAGCATGAACCGAAATGTCGAATATTCCGGCCCAAGAGGCTCCCTGGAGGCCCTAATAAGGTCCGGCTGCCACGAGGCTCCAACCTTCACGACGCCCCAGAAGGCCCCCAAACGGTTCCTAAGAGGCCAAACAGTGGCCCCGAAGAGATCCCCGCGAGGCATCCTTCGACATCCCACCTAATACTATCATGGCTTTTGGCCCGCTACCGAGGCACGGTGGCGAGATGGGTCGAAGGCCAGCCCAGTCTTTTTCGCACACCCCCTACGCTACTTCCCTCATTCCTTGCCGTGACCTTCTCAGCGCCTACAATTTCTTGTTTGTTACCACACACGCTTCCCCCATCTCACTTCCAAGCTTCGCCACCATTTCAAGATTTTTCAAACAGTCCCATCTGGCTGTCCTTCGGGCTTTGTAGCCTTATGTGGGGTACCCTGGAAACCTCCACGAGAACTCCAAGACGGCCCACACTATCATGTTCCCAGAGAGCCTTCCGGGAACATGATTGTCGCCGCCAGTCCGACAAGGAGACCGAAGAGGAGTCGAGGGTGCTTCCTGCAATTGCCGCACTCCTCTGCGACGCCCCCCAGAGGCCCCTGGAGGTCCCCACGTGTCTGTCATCTGTAGAAGGAAAGGAGGAGGAGGAGGAGGAGGAGGAGGAGGACGAGGAGGAGGAGGAGGAGGAGGAGACGAGGACGAGAGGGGAGGAGGAGGAGAGGAGGAGGAGGAGGAGAGAGGAGGGAGGAGGAGAGGGAGAGGAGGAGGAGGAGGAGGAGGAGGAGGAGGAGGAGGAGAGGAGGAGGAGGACGAGACGAGACGAGGAGGAGGAGGAGGAGGAGGAGGAGGAGGAGGAGGAGGAGGAGCTGGACCAGAACACGGCCTGGACGTCCTCCTGGATTTCTCCCATGTCGGCCCACGACATATTTGACCCCTTCCGGAGCATCCCCCATGCCGCTCAAACAGCTCCAGAGGCTGCCAACAAGCTACAGGAGTGGCCTGACAGGGCCGAAAACGCACAAAAATGACGGTTCAAGGGGCCCCGAAGACGTCTTAAGAAGGCTCCAAGTTGACGCTTCGCGTATCCCCACCAGTCCATCCAAAACCAAAGCCCAGGCATGTCGAGAGGATCAGGGACATGTAGGAGCGAAGAGGGGGACATCCATTATCGTTCGGGGGAGGAGGAGGAGGAGGAGGAAGAGGAGGAGGGGGAGAAGGAGGAGGAAGAGGAGGAGGAGGAGGAGGAGGAGGAAAAGGAGGAGGAGCAGGAGGAGAGGAGGAGGAGGAGGATGCGGGAGGAGGGGGAAGGATGATGAGTTTGCGGATGAGGAGGAGCAGGAGGAGGAGGAGGAAGAGGAGGAGGAGGAGGAGGAGGGCGAGCAGAAGGGCCATCGGAACGAAGTGGAAGGGCAAAAAGCTCATCCAGAGACGATGCCCAGGAGATTTGCCCTGATCATGGAAGTGAGGGAGCATACAGAGAAACAAACGGCCTTGGAAGCCGTCGCACCCTAAAGGCTGGGAGTGCGGAGGAGGAACATGAGGATAAGGAGGAGGAGCAGGAGGAGGAGGAGGAGGAGGGGGAGGAGGAGGAGGAGGAGGAGGAGGAGGAGGAGGAGGACAGGGAGGAGCAGGAGGAAGAGGAGGAGAAGGAGGAGGAGGAGGAGGAGGAGAAGGAAGAGCAGGAGGAGTAGGAGGAGGAGGAGGAGGAGGAGGACGAGGAGTAGGACGTGTAGGAGCAAGAAGAGGAGGAGTAGGAGGAGGAGGAGGAGGTGTTGCGGGAGGAGCGGATGACTCTTGGAAGGCTTTTAGATGCCACTTGGGGCGTCTGGAAGGCGTCTTGTCGGGCCCAGGACAGTTTTTGAGCGTCTTGGGTGCCCCGGGGATCCTCTTGAGGCCTCTTGGAGATCTCTTGGGAGTCTCTTGGATGCCTCTTGGGGCCGTCTGGGCGCCTCTTTGGGCCCTCTTTGGGCGCCCTTGAGAGTTTTAGGAGCGCTCTTGGGGCCATGTCGGAAGACATTGATCAAACAAGGGGAGCTTTAATTAGGGCCCCCCCTCGGGAGCCCAGACGATCACTTCGTGGGGCGCTCGTGGGCTCCCTTGGGGCCGTCTTGGAGGCCTCTCGGGCCCCTCTTGGAGGCCTCTTGGGCCATCTTGGAGCCATCCTGAGGCCTCGGAAGTCCATCAGAAGCGAAAAGGCGATAACGCAAACCACATTGGTTGTCCCTAGGTTTTGGACGGATGTTGGCCACTTGGCGGCCGCTTTGGGCCTTTGGGGGGCGCTCTTGGGAGCTTTACAAGCGCTCTTGGAGCCATCTTGGAAGACATCGATCAACATAGGGGAGCTTTCAGTTGGGTCCCCCCTCGGGAGCCCAAGCAATTACTTTGTGAGGCGCGTTTCGTGCGCTCTTGGAGCGCTGCTGGAATCTCTTAGGGCCGTCTTGGAGGCCTCTTATGCCCCTCTTGGAGCCCTCTTGGGCCATCTTGCATCGGTTTCAGCATCATCGTTTTTTGTTTGCCTCCGACCCGCCAAGACGGTCCCAGCGGACTCCGGGATCGCCTCAAGACGTCCCGAAGAGGCTTCCAAGAAGGCTCTAGGGCGGGGCCCAAGGACGGCAACAAATCCCCAAGACAGCTCAAAAGGCCACCCAGACTGCCTAACAGGGTGTCCACGAGGGTCTCAAGATGGCCCAACAGGCCTCCAAGAAGGGCCAAGGGGGCTCCAAGACCGCCCAGGAGGGCCCACAAGACGGCCCAAGAGGTACCGAGGCCCCCCATAACGGCCCAACATGCCGATGAGTCTCTCCAAATGTTGCGTCTCAAGAGGCGCCTCAGTGGGCTCCAAGACGGTCCAGTGCCGGACACAGTTTTGACACCATGTAAAAGGTTTTGAATGCCAAAGCTCCCAGGCGCGAACGGTGGCACGAAAAGCTGGTAACGCAAAGGTTCCCAAGAGCTCACAGCGTGTACCATGAGCCCGTTCGGGCAATTTTCTCGAGCGCTCTGTCTATTTCCGTGCTGGCCCAGATGTCAGAAAGAGCGAGGTACGAGTGATGTCCAGGTGAAGGGCGAAGTACGCAAAATCCGGGGTAACACGCCCTTCCCCCGCCAAGATGGTTCAAGTGGCCCCACAAGCGGCCAAGGGGCCCCGAAGACGACCCTAGAGGCTTTCCGTAGCCATTTTGGCTCAAGCCATTTCGTCTCGAGCCTGCTCGATTCGGAGCATTCCAGCGCTGGCAAGGGTTACCAGAGGTTGTTCGGAGCAATGGGCGAGGGCGACAACGACGCGCTCGACAACGACGCGATCATGGTTCTTGACGCGTGCTGCTGCTGCTACGAAGGCCTGCTCTGCGGGGATGGATGCCTGGGGTGCATGGCGAGCGAGACCTTGTGCTGCCTGGAGGTCGAGTACTGCTGCAAGCAGGGCGCGCCGACGCTCTGCTGCGTGTGCTGCGCGATCCGCTGCGTCTCGCCCACCGTGTGCATCAAGTCGCAGGGTCAGATGTGCTGCCTTGCCGGGGCGGCCGCCATCCCGTGCGACGAGGAGGTCCCCTGCATGGTTGGCTCGTGCGGCGTCATCTGCTACCCCACGGTCGCCATCTGCAAGACGCTGGGCGAGATCAAGGGTGGCGGTAGCGGGGATGGACCCGAGGCTGAGCAGGTGGGCTGAGGCCAGTGAGATGGATCCGTGCAACCGCTCTGCCTGCTGATGGTATACCAGCATGGCCAATGCGGCACGACAGCCCAGGCCACGAATGGCTCCGCTGCTTTGATGCACAAAGGCGAGCTAGGCTGCTGTCGCGATTCGGATGTTTGTTTAAAGGTGTACACCGCGCTCTCAAGTGTCTCAGCAAAAAAAAAAAAACAAAAAAAAAAGACGGCCTGATATAACCCAAGATGGCCTACCATAGTCCCAGAATGCTCCCTAGACGGCCCAATAGCGTTCCAAGAGGGCTCACGATGGCTTCAGGTCAGCCCAAGAGGTCCCCACGACGCCCCCAGACGGCCCCAAGAGGACCCCTCCAGCAGGGTCGCGAGGTGGGCCCAAGAGATCCTCAAACTGGCCCAAGACGGCTCCAACAAGTGCCCAAGAGGGTCCCAAGACGGCCCAGGGGAGCCCCAGGATGCCCCCAAGGCGGACTCAAATGCTCCCAAGAGACGCCCTAGAGGCCCCAAAGATACCTCCAAGAGCGTCTCAAGACGGCCCAGTGCTGGATACAGTTTTGACGCCAAGGCTTCCGCCCCCCGACGACCAGACACAGTTTTGGCATCAAAGTTCCCAAGAGCTGAGGTCCAGAGGACGGGAAAGCCCTTCTCAGGCGAGTCAGTGACGTCGTGAAAAGCTTTGAACGCTAAGCTCCTAAGAGCGAGCACTGACTGAATAAGATCTTCACGCCAAATCTCCAAACAGCGAACGGAGATTTACAGATCTCTGAACGCCAAGGCTCCCAAGAGCGAACGTTGACGCGAAACAGTTCTCAACGCTAAGACTCTTCAAAGCGAACGGTGCTATGAGCCTGTTCGGGCAAGTTCTTTAAGCGCCCTTTCCGTTCCCGTGCTGGCCCAGGACTGGGAGTTACGACACTGAAGTAAATTGCCGGCGCGTAGGCCTGATGGGTTGGCGAATTGCACCCCGGGGAGACCCACCAAACCCAGACGCCAGCATCTCGAGGACGTGGGCACCCCATGTGGGCACACATTGCCGCAGCTTCGTTGAGCTTCGAGCGGACATAGACGTCTTCACGCGAGGGCATTGGCACTCCGTCCGTGTTTAGTCTGCTCCTCGGGCGGGCCCAGGCGTGCCCCCTCGCCTCTGGAGATGTGCGGCCCCTGCTGGCAGGGCACCCCGTTGTCCATCCTGGTCAGGGCGCCCTGCCTGTCGCCGCGGGGCGTGCTGGATGCCGAGCCGGGCTGGGCGCAGATGGAGGCGGCTCCCGCCCCACGGCTCGATCCAGTCGCGTCGGGCCACTCTGCAACGGGCCCTCTGCGAATCACCCGGGGCGCTCCAGAGAAAGAGGGTCCCGCCCTCGCCGCCTCTCGCCCGCGGCGGAGAGAACGGCCGAGGCGTAGCAGCGGCAGGCTCCACAGGCGGAGGGCGGGCGGAAGCAGACGTGAGGCGTCAACATTTCTGGACTCGGGGATGCTGGAGTCGCCCGCAGTGGGGGTGCCGAGGCTGGCGTTGTTGAGAGACCGTGCCGACCTCGGCCTCAGGTGGGGCGCCAGAGGGGCCCGAAGCCCGCACGTTCCCCGAGCTCGCCGCTCCGAGCGTCGCCCACGTCGAACAGTTCTTCCCGCGCACGCATGCCTTTCTCATCGGCGAGCCCCTGCGAAATCTGGGGACGGGGCTATCCTTCCAGAGTGCGTGTGATCGGTCAGTGATCTGGCGCGGAGATGCCAAGCTTGATAGCATAGACGATTCCGCGCTGAATCGTCCGAAGAAACTTGCAGCTACTAGAGTGGTCAGCACGTTCTCTTTTTCAAAGCCAGCCGATGCTTGTAGAGGTGCCTCTGCTCAGGAGCGACCGTGACCAGCCACCGCGGGAGGCGCGGCAGGGGGGTGAGGGGCCCTGGGCGTCGCCCAGTTGGAGCGGGCAGGCCTACAGCTCTCTCCGTCCAACCACCCTGGGAAACAGACGTGCGCGCATTGTTCCACAAGCTATAGCAGGCAGTCCTAGCAACGGCCAGTGCGTTCGCCATCCGCTGGGTGGGTTCTTTTATGTTTGGATGCAGTAGCGGTGGCAGTTGAAAGCCTACGACATTGACACATCACAAGCGTTCTAGTGATAGATGCAATGGCAGTGGCAGTGGTGGCGTTGGGATAGTATTCGTTGTAGTGGCAGTAGGGCAATACTTTGCAAGTGCATGTTTTGACGGATTGTAGGTGGGTTCGTGGCGTGGGCGTTCTCAGTACAACGGCAGTGGTGGAACTAACGCCGTGGGTTGTTGGAGCGCTCGCGATCAGTACAGATACAGTGCTTGAGCCATCGCCGTGGGATGCTTGAACCACTTTCCTGAGTGACAATGGAATGCTGGAGCCCGCGCATTTGGCTGTTGGAGCGCAAAGGCTAGGCAAAAATGCAGTGACGGAGCCGACCCTTCTTGTCGGTATAACCTGCTGGAGCGACTGACCCTCCTCGAAATTGGGTGCTGGATCCATTGCCCCTTGTAACATGTAGGTGCTGGAACCCACCCCCACCCGTCTTGTCTGAAGAATTTGGTGCAACAATTTCCCTTCGCAACAGCTGGGAGTTGGAGCCTCACCCCGTTCAGGGCGTGATTGGACGGGGCAAGGGAGGGGAAACCTAACATTGTAGTCACGCCTTGCTCTTAAATAGGAACAGTTCGTGAGCGCGAGCGCGAGCCTGCGTTGCGCGCGCGCGCGTTCCCGAGCGAGCCCGAGCCTGGGCCCGAGCCCTGGCCCGAGCCCGAACTCCATCCTGAGCGCGTGCGCATTCGAGTGCGCGTGCGCGTGTGAGCGCGTGTGCGTGCGAATGTGCGTGTGCGTGCGTGTACGTTTGTGAGTGTGTGTGCGTGTGCGTTTGCGTGCGCGCGTGCGCGTGCACGTGCGCGTGCTGGTGCGCTTGCACGTACGCAGGCTCGGGCGCGAGCTCCATTTCGAGCCCGAGCGCGAGCCCGACCCCGAGGCCGAGCGCGGGCTAAGACTGAGCCATTTCGAGCACGAGGCCGAGCCCGAGCCCAATACCAAGCGTGAGCCCGAGCCCGGGCCCGAACCCGAGCCCGAATTGGCGTGCGCGTGCGCGTTCGTGTGGTCGTGTGCGTGTGCGTGTACGTGCGTGTGCGCGTGCGTGTGCGTGTGCGCGTGTATGTGGTCGTGTGCGTTTGTGTGCGCGGTCGCGTGCGCGTGCGTGGCGCGTGCGCATGCGCGTGCGCTTGCGCGCGCGCGCGCGTGTGTGTGTGTGTGTGTGTGTGTGTGTGTGTGTGTGTGTGTGTGTGTGTGTGCGTGCGTGCGTGCGTGCGTGCGTGCGTGCGTGCGTGCGTGCGTGCGTGCGTGCCTGCGTGTATGTGTGTGTGTGTGTGTGTGTGTGTGTGTGTTCGCGCGCGCGTGTGTGTAGTTTCGTGCGTATATAAATTTGCGTGCTTGTGTGTGTGTGTGACTTGTGTGTGTGTGCGTGTGCGTGTGCGTGTGTGCGTGTGTGTGTGTGTGTGTGTGTTTCAACTCGCGGTCAAACATTCCACCACTGCCAAACTATTCACCTGGCTGTAGTTGCAGCGGTAGTGGCAATAACAGCCGTCGTACATTTTGGTGGTTTAGTCGCAGTGGGAGTCATTGTGATTGTAGGGCTCTTCGGCTGCCGAAAACATCGCCATCGTGCCAACATAGAATTTCGAAACGTGACCCCAGGATGGTTCTACCGAGCTCGATCGATCAGGCTCGGAAGAGTCATGGTTCATCGAGGCCCCCACTGGCCCAAGATCGTTCTTGGGCCGTCTTCGGCGCACTGGTTCTACCGAGTTCTCCCTAAACAAATCGGTAGAACGACAGTCGGGCTGACTGGGAGGCAGCGCCAGGATGTGTTTGCTCCGGGGCCAGATCTGGTGCGCCAAGGCCCAGATCTGACAACCTAACCCGACAGGAGGGGTTCGTCGTTGATATGTAGGGGCCGTCCGCACCTGGTTTTGCGGCCAGAGTCCTCTTGGAAGCCTCTTGTGGTCTCTTCGGATGCCTCTTCGGGGCCTCTTGGTGTGCTCTTGGGGGCCTTTGGGCCTCATGGGCGCTCTGTGGGGGTCTCTTGAGGTTCTATAGGCTTACGCCACATCCGCCGACCCCTTTTTTTCATTAGGGGCTATCGCCGGGTCTCGGGAGCTCTCTCGGAGGCTTTGCGCGGCGGCCTAGGGGCACCGTGGGTTGTCTGGATGCTATCTTGGGCATCTTGGAACGGTCTTTCGGCGAGTCGGGGTTCTCTTGGACTGTCTTGGGGGCTTCTTGGGAGGCCTCAGGGGTTGTCCATCGTTGCTGCCGGCCGTGGGCACCGCGGCTGCCGCCCATTCCGCCATGCGTTGTGTTGGGCTTTGTTTGGCCAGGCGATGTGGTAGAAAAGGGAGAGGAGGAGGAGAAGGAGGACGATGCGGTGGAGGAAGAGGAGAAGAAGGAGGTCAAGGAAAAGGAATTCGGCGATTTTGGTATATTAGTGTTTCCTGAGAGGCGTACTGGGGGGGCTTTTGGGATGTCTTGACGGATTCTTGGTGCCTTCGGCCGCTCCCTTGGGCCCTCTTGGGGGCCTCCGTGGGCGGAAGGCTCGGATTTTCGATTCGGGCTCCCCTTTTTGGGCCCCTCTTGGGGCCGCCTGGGGGTTCTCTTGGGCTATCTTGGGCGCCTCTTGGGCCGTCTTGGCGACTTCTTGGGCCGTGTTGGGGCCCTCTTGGGAGCCTCTTGGGCCCTCTTGGAGCGGTCTTGGCGGCCTCTTGGGCCATTGTCAACGCCGTGTTGGCCGAAAAGGCGTATATGCCAAACATGCACGTTTTCTAGAGGAATTCCACGATTTTGGCCTCGGGGGCCCCGCTTCGGTAGCCGGTTGGAGGCCTCTTGGAGCGTCGTGGCGCCCTTTTAGGCCGCCTGGGGCCCACCTTGGGCGTCTTGGAGCGATCATTCGGCGACTTTGTGCTTTCTTGGGCCATCTTGGGGGTGGCGTCGGAAGCTCCCAAACGAGCCTGGGGAGCCCAAACCGCCTCGGGTGAGTTCGGCGGAGGGTCGTTCACCACGAGGGGGGGGGGTCAAACTGCCTGTTTGGGGTCCCGGGGGGGGTATGGGGAAGGAACAACCTCACACGCCTAGAGACCCGCAAGGGGTCGGCGGATCCTCTTGGGGGGCATTCGGGGCCTCTTGGGGTGTCTTGCGGCCTCTTGGGGGCGTTTCGGGGGGCTCTGGGACACGTGAGGGCATGTTGCGTGTCTTGTGCTCCATCTCTGGCGGCTCAGGCTCATTACCGATGCCCCTTCGTGGTGCCACTCCCGTGGTGGAGCAAATTGCAGGCATTCGCTTTTTTCAAGGCGAGCAGCGTGCGATCCCCAAAGCCTATGCGAGAAGTTCTAGCCCTAGCGCCTTCCCTTTTTAGACAAGTAGTAGAATAGTTCATGCAGAGGGGCACGGCTTGTTTTTGTTAGCCTACGGTATAAGATCCCTCGCTCTGTCATTGTATGATTTGTTATGGTATGCGGTGGTATGGTAGGCGATCATGTGTTCTGTGATGCTCTGCTCTGTCATGGTATGGAGTATGCGGCTATGATATGCTAAATTATATTGTGAGTGACGTGGTATGTTATGGTATAGTTTGTTATGTCATGATGTGCGATTGCATGGTATGATATGTTATGTTATGGTATGATGTGTGTGTGTTGGCATGGTGTGTTATGTTCGTGTATGTTATGTGGTGCCGTACCATGCTCGATGCTACACTATCTTATGTCATGGTGTGCGGTGTTCTGTTCAATTTTGACAGGTTGTGTCGTGGTCGTCGAAAGGGCGAGGCAGGACCATCGGGGGATTCTCGGTTGACCTTGGGATCTGGCGGCCGTGTGCAGGTTGGGCGGGTCGGCGCGAATATGGCCCCCAGGGGATTCGGTGGATCTGGGGATCTTGCAGCCGCGATGTGCAGGGTGGGCGGGCCGGGAGACCTGTTGTGGGATGGTGCATGTGTCACGCGTGTATATGCGCCACTCGCTGCCGTTTGACCTCTAGGGGCCCCTTTTTTCCATGGTGCTAAAACGCTTCATAATCACACTAGTAGCGGAGCTGCCGCACGATCCCCGTATCCTACCACTGCGCGCATGTCTCATCAGAGAGTGTCGCACTACCTCTCTTTACTGTCCGTACTGGCAGTTGCCCTCGTTAGGGGACTGTGCCTTGCACCATGGCACTTTCTTCTCTACGCTACCGGTCAGGCGCCAACGCGCTGACGCGGTCTGAGA